ACTACATAAGAGTTGTCGGTTACGTTAAGACTAGAATGTAATAACGTTTTTTCAATTTATATGAAATTATATAGAAAAATATCACTTACATTGGGAAATAAATGTAGTAAACGTTACGCAATTTTTTCCAAAATTTTCATTGACGAAACATATTAATAAATCATCAAATTAATAAAAAAAATTATGACAAAGATTATTTACAAAAAGAAATAGCAAAATTAAAATGAAGACTGAGTGTGGAAAATCTCGAAGCATGGAAAAACGCTAAGTCCTACATTGTGTGATTTGCAAACATAAAATGTTTGTTACGTTTTTTTTATTTACACACGGTTTGTGACTATACACTTTGGTTTTTTTCATCCTTTTTGTTCATATTAAGGTTAGGAAAATGCTTTTAAAACACACACAATCAAATAATAATCTGAAGCAGTAGCGCGAACAGTAATTTTTCAAGGGAAGGGGGGGGATCCGGGGTCGAAAGTTCACCATTCATGTATCATGCTCCTTTTGATTTTGTCGATTTTCGGGAACATAACACAGTAAAAAATTAATTATTGAATAAATAATTAGCATTAATTAATAAAATTAATCATTAATAACACATAATTAAATTTTATGTACTATATACTTAGAATTATAGTCAATCGGAAAAAAAATCAAGGGTTTTGGGGGTGGGGAGTCCGGACCCCCAGGACCCCCCTTTTTGCGAACAACACTGATCTGAAGTCAAGGTTTTTGAAATAAGAAAAGTACACACACGAAATATATCCGAAAGCAACAAAAACTGTAACAGAACTGACGCTAAAACTCTAAGACACTCCACACTGTTAAGAAAAAGAAAATAAAAAAGCATTGGCAGAGTTATTAGAAACGCGAATGTCTTATATCAAGTGGGAATTTTACGAGCTATTTGTTTCCATTTCGATTACCCCCTCCCCCGACTCAGCTATGTGCAAAATATCAAATCCAGGCAGAATATAAACTAACCGAAGATCAGGTTACTCTAGCTACGTTCGATTTCAATAGAATGGACCAGTACCACTGGACCACCAAGCCCAGTACCACTTAAGACCCACTGTGTAGGGCAGCGATGCATGTTAAATCTGTCGAGAGCTGAAACGTCCTCCCGTTGGTGTGGTGTGGTAGTTAGGAGAGGGGGTGCCAGCTCAGGTATCGTCCACGTCACTTGACCATGGTTCAAAATTACGTGGTCCGTCGCCAAAAGCCCTCGTGTAGCTGAATAGAGCGACGTTAATATTCAATCAGCCCCGCCATTCTAAGCCTAACCGTTCGCTAATACGACAAGTTCTAATACTAAAATAAAAATCTGGGATTTAACGAATTTTTAAATAATAAAATTAATAAAAAATTTATTATTATATGTAACAATAAAATCAAATTAACAATGAAAATGAAATTAGTTATTATTTTTCTTTCATTGATTATTTATCTATAATGACTTATTATTTTTCTCAGTATTTTTCGACAGCGCTCTCCATATTCCCGTCAGCGTGTTCCGTTCGTAGAATTCGTGTAGTTTTATTCGATGTCGCCAATAGGGTTGCGATAGCACATAAGTCCCATAGAATTTGTTTGTGTATTTTGTAATCGATATAGCTAACACATACGTAACAAATTTTTCGATATTACATTTCGAAAAATAGAATGGAACGTAATGCTAAAACGAATTTTAGAGTTTTCAGGAAACTGCTCGACGGCTTATACCGAACTTATTCATCACACTCTCATCCAACCTCCCCATTCTCTGTTGGAAAATATCTAAAATCGTTTTCATAATTTTTTTTTTCTTTTTCTTTTTCGGAATTCAACGAATCGAAGAATTTCCTATGAATGGGAATGAGTTACGAGCATATCACATTGTGTTCGATTTTGAGGTCGTCGGCTGTGTCGGCAGTTAAGGGGGGGGGGGCACGAGGCGTTTTTACGCCCACGTAATCCTCCTCTCCCTCTCCGCCTACGAAAAGGGTCAAGTCAATATTGGATCACCCTTTGCTTGAAATATTTCTCTTTGTCTGCGGCGGCTTTTTCGGAACTAATGGCCCAACCTATTTGTTCTTTTAGAGACGGTTCATGCACCCCGGTAGGTGTGCTTTCTAGAAAGTCATTCGCTTTAAACGTTACGAAGAAAATTTTAAATTTCATTTAGTGGACTTTTTTCGAAACATGATACGTCTGGATGGAACAATTTAAAAATTGAATTAAATTGAAAAATCACCCTAGTGGCTCTCCTTCATAACATTTCAGTCACACTTTTCGGAGTGTCTCTGGTAGCCTAGTGGTTATGGTCCCGAACTCGTGGCTGAAGTGTCGTGGGTTCGAGTCCTAGGGCCATTGAAGACCCACCATGTAGAGGAAAACGAGGCCCATTGTCCTACCGTTGGTGTGGTGTGGAAAGTTGGTGTCAGCTAAGGTATCATCCTCGTTATCTGACCGAGGTTCAAAATTACGAGATCCGACGCCAATAGCCCTCGTATTGCTCTATAGTGCAATGTTAACACAAAACTCTGAAGCCGCCTTCACACCAAGGCAGTCAGCGTCAAGCAGTTCACAAGATTTCATCTCGGGCGAGATGAAATCTCTGATTGGCTAGACGCTCAGCGCTCGACGCTGACTGTCTTGGTGTGAATGCAGCTTAATATTTCAGTTTCGTGAAACTTGAGGAAAATTATCAAGTACCCTTGTTTAGGTTCCACTCATATTGTTTTAGTAATGATTTCCAAATAAGGAGATACAGATCCTTGTCTGTCATCCTACTTTTTCGTATTTACATTTCGCCAATGGAAACTGAATTACGATATATTTAAAGCCTTTTCTTTGCTAGGAAATTCGAGATCCGAACCCGGATTCCAGTTCTGTGTCCACTTAAAACTAGTGGCGCACGTTAAATCTATGGAGGCTTAAGGACATCACGTTAACGTAGTGAGGAAATTTTGAAGAATGAGATTTCGGCTCATTGTGGGCCTTATCATTATGTGGATTGAAAAGGTGAAGTCTGTCGCCAATAACACTCATGTAGCTTTGTGTGGGAGAGTTTTATTAAAACGACACTGTAAAGCAAAGCGAGGGCAACTGGAGACGGACCTCTTCCTTTTGAACTTCGGTCAAGTGACGAGGATGACACCTGAGTTGCCCCCCCATAACGACCACACCAACAGATTTAATTTGCATCTGCCGACACAGTGTATCTTCAGTGACACCAGGGCTTGAACCCATGATATTCCAGCCACGAGTTAGGGCCCATAACCACTAAGCTACTACGGCATCCTTGTAGCGGGGACGTTAATAATGAATCAACCCTCGAGACAAATATAACTGCATCAGCCTCACGTTACACTAAAAATTATCTTAGCACTTGTCGACGTCCTTCAACGACCATTTTATTTACAGCACTCAAATGACACAATTCTAATGGTTGAATAAAATCGAGTGAATAATATCACAATAAAGAGGAATATACAAAGTTATGCCATTTGTTTTTTAAATTCTTCAGTTTTTATTCTTGTAGAGACTTAATAATCTAGCGGCAGAGAGGATTTCTAAACTTCACGCACTGTGGCCTCGACTAAGTCAGAAACTAATGAGCAAAATAATAGCTAGATGATAAAAGACAATAACACAAGTTTTGTTGAACAATTCATTCAGACAGTTCCTAGTTCAGAGATTCAGAGGAGGTTGGAAAATCAGAGTTTGTCAATCCAGAAGTCCTCCTATAGCTAATTAATCTAAATTTTAAGAAAAAACAACAACACATAAAAAGCCTCATATGTACCTCCCAATGAGTTATCGAACATATCAATCTATTTTTAAAAAACTTCTACATCTGTCCCATTAATCATTCGTATGATTTTGAAGCTATTTACTGTGTCTCAATGGCGTCATTTCAAATAATGAATGAAAAGTGGAAAAAAAAATTGATTCAACTATCAAATCCTTCATCTGTGCTCCTGTGGAAACTCCACCTCTAAACATTCGAAACCAACAACACTGGAAAAATTAGATTGCATATTCCCATATGCTTAGTCAAAAATATTTTGTGTGTTCATTTCTATATATAAAACCCTCTACCACACACACATTTTTTTTTTATTTCCATTCCATACAGCCCTGATATATATTTATATTCCCAGCTTGCGCGATGATGAAGCCACAAAAAAATGGGAACATCATCCGGTTCTTTTCCTTTAACGGGTTTTTCGCTTTTAGTAATCACTGTTTAATGGGTCGTCTCTTCTCAGAAACACCTGGAGGGAGGGTCACAGGGGTCGGGCTCCTTCAGGGACAAGCGATCCTGACCTACATCGAGGTATTTCCTTCGAATCATCTTCGGGTGAAGAAAAACGAAAGCATTTCAGAAATGGGGATTGTTAAATACAAGACTGAAGGGCGATTGAAAGTCATGAATGGCTTTGTCCAGTGAGGGTTACCGGATGGTCTTGTTTTTCGAGGAAGAAAATTAAATCGCACAACGGCTCGGGGCGCCCCCCCCCCTTTTTCGTTAAGAACTTGAGGTGAAAACATCTTTTAAGTAGCATGTTTTGAGTTGACCGTTGTTTTCCTTGAACGTTAATTCAACTAATTAAAAATTATGAAAAATCGTAAATAAAATCATTTTTTAATAATGTTAATAGCACTACACAAATGTAGATTCAAAAAATGCAGATATGCTTTTCCAATTTTCTTGTTCATGGATTCAATAGCTCAATAGTATCACCTTATTTTTTTCACAATTCCTACTGTTAGTTCACACTAATAGTAGGAATCAATCGTTGATAAACTTCAATCGTTATTAAAATATTTTCTATTCATCCATTCATCAAGTTCAAATAAATTTTTTTAAAAACTTGTGGTGGGGATGACACTTTATGTTAATACAGTTTTTTTTCAGGTATTAAATCCATTAATTAAATTAAAAATGAATAAATAGAACAAACAAAAATAATAGTCCAATAGCATATATAAAAAGAAAAATTGTTCGTTGTGTTCCTATAGCGCAATGGATAGCGCATTGGACTTCTAATCCAAAGGTCGTGAGTCCGAATCCCACCTGAAATGGCCTAATTTCTGAGAATGTGATTTCTTTTTTGCTTTACTATTTTATTAGAATAATGAAATTTAATGAATGTGAATAAATAATAGCAAACACAAACAAAAAAAAATTAGTTTAACACCCTGTATAGAAAGGAAAATGGAAAATTGCAAGGAAAATCGCTTTCTATTTTGCCAGTTAACAGTATGATTCTGTCATATGTATATACATATTTATATTAATTGTAACTATTTAATAAAAAGTAACTAAAATAAAAGGGTTTTTTTGTTGACCTAAGTAGAAATGGACTTAATTTTTTTTACCTGTTTTTATTTAGCGATATTCTCTTATTTTTTTCCAAAGCGTTTTATTGTTTAAGATTTGAATTTGCAAGCAAAAAGCAGAGGGGGCCGATGCCCGCTACATTTGTTTCCTGTTGGTGTGGTATGGTAGTTAGGAGAAGGGGGTTCCAGCTTAGGCTCGTCCTAACCAAGGTTCAAAATGACGAGATCCCTCGTGTTGCTTAAAAGGGCGACCTTAATAGAGCTCTTGCTCTTACTTCGTCAATCCTTTTTTTCAGTCTCAAAAAGGGGAAGCGTGTCTTTTTTTATTTTATGAAACAAGTACCTGTTAATAAATATACTTTTTCATCTCAACCCCCCCACACACTTAAATTCTTCATAAGTTTTATAATTATAGAAGCTGCGAGGGAGTTTCTTGTATTTTACGATTCACATCCTGTTAAGAAAATTAAATTTATAGTTTATTGAAAAGCACATTTCAAGACATTATATACATCACAGCAATTTTCAGCAATCCTTTTTCGGTGGAACAAATATTAACTGGGCGTAATTATGATGCAAATGAAACATGTCACAATTTGTGAGTTGCTGACAGTACGTTTGAAAAATTCTCATGTGTAATTAATTATTCTTATAAGATTGTGGTTAACCCAGTAGAATGAAATCATATATTCCATGGAAAGGTCATTCGGTGATTGAAGGTATCCCTTACCACCTCTTCGATCTAGCCGAGGCTTGATACTCCAAATCAATGTCCCATGAGGACTGTAATGTAATTGAGTTGAGCCCGGTAGATTTAAAAACCTCTTGTTGTTAAATATTTTGATGAGGTAATTTTTATCAATAATGATCTAAATTAACTCTCTCTCTCAAAGCAAATTTCCCTTTATAATTATTACCCTTCATATATAAAATCTTTGTATACTACATACTCTCTCTCTCACTTGAGTTTTATATAGTACGTCATTAAATACAAATAGTATTCCTAAGAGTAGCACCTTTTTTAAGCATTAAATCTTTTTTACCATTGAGTGTTTTTTTTACATAAATTTATTTCAAGGCTGATAACTGATTCATATTACAAAAAATAAACTCGAGGTAATTTCAATTATTCAAGCAATATAATAATAAACTAGTGTGTTTTATATTTACTTACAATATATTTTTTAATGTTTTAGCACTTTCATTAAAAAAAAAATACTGAACTATTGCTAGAAAATTTGCTTTTATGTTTTCAGGTTGAATCACAGACGACTGAAGATCTTTGACGGGATTTGTGTCTCGATTTTAAAGGAAAACAATCATTTCCCCCAGAAACCATCCGATCTCAACGTTAGATAAGTGACACGAAAGAACGAAACGTAATGAAACCGGTCTCCTCTTCAAAATCCCACCATGAATCTGCGCTTTTTATAAGTATCTCAATTCCATTGAAAGATATTGAAAGTGATTTGGTGCCTTCAACTCACTGGCCTCCATTGGAGACTGAATATCTTATCACAGTGAACCTAAATGCATTAAAGCGAATACAAAAACGACTGACTGAATGAATTAAATTATTTTTTGCTGTTATTAATAAATGTTGCGACTGCTACTTAAATAGTATTCTTAAAAAACAGACGAGCGTTAGAAATTTGAAATGATTAAAGTGCTTTCTGTCTAGGGTTATTTAGTGGTGTTTGGATCCGGGCTTCAATGCCGCCGAAGAGAAGGCCTATGCATGCTTAATCTGCGGAGGCTCGATGTCCCTTCCTTGGCCTGGTGTGGAAGTTAGGAGAGGGGTTCTGCTTAGGTATCATCTTTGTCGCTTGATTAGGGTTCAAAATGACGAGGTTCTTCCCCAATAGCCCTCGCGCAGCTTTATAGTGTCACTTTCTTACTCACGAGGGCTTCTAGTTCCTTTTGGTCAGTTGAAACCTTGCTCTGGTTTTATTTAATACAAATAAGGATATTAAGGTGACGAATTGGAAAAACTTGGCAAGAAAGGACGACTTGAAATGGAATTCTGAGGAAGGCCAAAATCTATCCGTTGCTGCGCCAGTGGAGAAAACCCATTTCTTCGGATAAATTTTAAAAATAACTCAAGAGTCCAGGTGGCAATCCCACGAATTTAATATTATTTACAATTAATACAATGATCTCCCAAAAACTTTATGGAATCGGAAGACTGTGATTTCTTGTGACGTAATATACGTTGCAGTTATGCGCAATAAAAGGGGCGATCTTCCTTTGCGGAGGGAAACAAAAAACAATGGTTCTGTAATTTAAAATTGGTATCAAATCCACTGATTTATGTGACCCACCCCTGGTACTTTATTTAAAGGAGGGTGGAATAATAATATATCCGTATAAATACCATGTTTGGATTGAGAGGTATCTGGATGAAAATATTTTAAAAATAAATAATTAGAAATTTGTGTTTTTCAGTTTTTCTTTTACAGATTCTTCTAATCGTTATTTAATAAGCTTCCCCGAAACGAAGTTAACTTATTTGAAAGTTAGATTCTCTCAGAATGTATAAAAAAGGTGATCCTGTAACGTTTTGTTTGAGAACTAGAGACCAAATTATATCTAAAATCCCCTCAACATCGAATTTTTTAAAAAAGACGTAGTGATTTTTGAAAAAAAAATCACCTTGAGATACATGTTTATCAGCATTTGTGGTTTAGTGTATCAAATTTCTTGAATCTGGGCCTTTCCGTTAGCCCGGGGGCCCCCCCCCACACACAAATTCTTCCTTTAATTAATACACAAGGTATCAATTAATGTTTTGTCAAATTCAGAAATTTTAGAGTTTTTTAAATTGAATTTTTTTTATTATCGTTTTTTTTTGCGAAATATTCATTCATAAAACATTTTGCTTGCATGCATAGTGTAAGAAATTAACTTGCACTATATTTAACTAAGAAATGAAATTTTTCCTTAGGAACGCGTATTTTGTGACAGCGTTTTGATTAATGAATAGAAGTTTTGAAAAATCTCCTATGAGAGGATAAGAAATTTATCTTATTTTATTAAGGATGGACATTCTTATGAGTAGCAAGTTTTAGCTGACCTAAGACTAGAGAAAATGTTTAATATATACGAATGAAAGCGCGTTTTATTAGCGTAAAGCAACACTAGGGTTATTGATGGGGGTTGCTGATGCCACCTGCCTGACATAGTCAAATCGAGGCCCACGAAATTCATCGCGGCAATGGGCTAGATGTACGCCTGTCGTTGGCTTTTAGCCTTGAGCACCACACAGGTGACAGTACGATTTGAGCTCGGAGAAATTCCCGAAGGAACGATAGATGGCGACACCATCTATCCATCTATCTCCCACAATTTAGGCATGGGACTGAATTGGAGGGAAATTTTCTCCAGTTCCCTGCACTCGTGATTCAGCCCACAAGACTTTCGGACCCACTGATTGAACGAGCACGTGCTCCGCGTGTACTCGAAGGGTATTTGGCGGTACGGGCATCGAACCCAGGCCTTCCGGTCCGAAGTCCGGTAGGGCTATTGGTGGCGCGTACTCCGTCATTTTGAACCTTGGACAAGTGACAAGGATGACACCTGATCTGAGCCCCCTCAATATATAAGTGAGTGTATATAAGTATATATTTAAGTTTTGTCGATTCAGATTATCCTCTACTAAAAAGATTATCTTCTGTAAAAAAAAAATCTTTTTAAAAGTCTATTAATTACACTAACTTCTAACATCTTTTGATAAATTTATCAACGTTATAATTCAGTTTTGTAGACCACGTACTCACCGTTGCAGCTTAGCCTTGATGTAGAAATTGCATTAACATTAATGTTTTTCTGCTCCCGAATGGCAAATTTGTTATTATTTCACAAATTTATTTCATTCAAACATCAAAAAATTTTCGCGATGCTCAAAAATCATTTATTTTTTATGTATAAATTTGATACCACTGTATGTAAGTGAAATGAAGAAAAAATGAAAGGATTTTCATGCAAAAATTCATTATATACTTTAATCTACTGATGAACAGAATTCCCACATGTATTTTCAAACTATGATGACAATTGTGAAAAATATTAAGGGAACTTTCTTTTACATCTGTCCATTAAATAAATAATTATATGCCGTATAGGTAGACTAATGCCACAACATTTGAATAAGACTGAAAAAAGCCAAGCAGATCGCATTATCAGTAATCCAAGGCCTTGTCAAGTAAACATATAATCACACTTTGTGAAACACTTAATTGACTGATCATTAGCGGCATACTCTAAGGCAGTATGCCCCAAACTTTTGACGTGTATGTACCCCTTCTATAATTTCCGTAACGCTGAATAACTCTCGTCAAAAAATAGATGTATTTTAAAAACAATCATAATATATTTATTTTTTCTTTTCTTGTGACATACACGAAATAATAAGAAAAGAGAAATAAACTTATTCATAATTAAATATAAATAAAAGTTATACAACAAATAATTATTTGGATTAATGAGAAGGATGAAATTTTTTTGTCTGTGCTGAGATGATAAGATATATCGTCATGATTTGGTTTCCGGGTTGTTAATTTTAATGTGAGATGCGGTTCCCGGTTTATATAATAGTCTGTTCCGTTTTTTCGACTTAATGTCTACGAATGCTGAAAAAGCAACTGAACATAAATAGGAAGTTGAAAAAGTCTCAAGATGTATTTCAGAATTTTTTCTGTCAAAACCAAATACACATCTTACATTTGTAACCAGAATTTTGTTAA